AAAAAAAAAGGAAAATATATTTGAAATACTGTAATCTACTTAAATAGAGAATAGCTTTATATCTGTGTCACCACAAAATGTGTCATGTTACACCTTGCAATGAATTGTAGCCGCATAATAGGAAGTGTTTCCTGTATTTTTGACAATGAGCTTTTATTATTTTCTTAGTTAAATATTAGGTGCACACATTATAATGCATTGTTGGTATATTATTAGTCTTTATACAGTCAGATAGTTGATAGAATTAATGATTTTGAAAAGCAGAAAAAGAATGATTCACAATAAATTAAATAGATAGAAATTACATAAAAATGGGATCTGTGGTATTTAAGCTTTGCTAATTAATTAAAAATCAATAGTGTACACTAGACAATCCTACACTAGTAATTAGGTTAAAATTTTTCACATAAATAAAATAGATGAGCAGTACTGGGTAAAGACAACTTGATTTCTTGCTTCAAACAAGGTATCCATTCGTAGAAGTCTTATGAAGATAAACATCCAAAGTGAACATAAAAGGGTCAGGGACCAGGACATATACCTTCAACTCTAAATTGACAAAGATAGAAAATATTAAATAGAGAAACGATGTATACATAATAGGCCTTAGAACTTAAAAAAGTGTAAATTACAAATAAGCTTAATGAATGTATGATGTAAGTAATTATTTATGAACAAAATTAATGTAAAATACAAAAGAATAAAGGAAGAATAGGAAAGAAACTTGGAGCGGCTAAAATATTTTCCGAAAATAAACAATAATAATAAATTTTGTAGTAATTTAGTCATGTAATTGTGCCCTATTGCTTGAAAACATTATTGGATAAATTACCCCATCCCCACCCCTACCCCAAGATCCCCATCCAAGGACTCAGAAACCCCAAGATCCCCATCCAAGGACTCAGAATCTACTATGTACTGTCAATGCATACCTTACCACAAAACAGTGGACACTTTAAATGATGACAAATAGCCCAAATCAGTAGTGCACAGCCAACAAATATAAGATAAGATCTTTGAGGCTCAAATTCTTAGCCTCCTGTTATTTACAAATTCTAAAGCAGTGTTTCGTATACAGTAAAGAATTTGTTGGAAAATGTCCTCAAAAGACTATTCTACACTGCAATATGATTTTTTTTAAATTGAAAAATTGGGGAAAAAAAAAAAAGGTTAAAAAAATGGAGATTTTCAAACTATCTTTTTTCTGTGCTGATTTACCAATCTCGACATTAAATTCCCTTCCCACATTACATGGCTGCATAGGAACCTTAGCCCTTGCTTTTACCCTAGAGTATAACACAAGGAAAATAGTCACTACAAACATGAGCAAGTGTTATGGTATGCTACAATGCTTCCTTTAAAAAACGCAAGTCGGTGACACAATAGTTTTGAACAATAGCTTTGGAATGAACAATGTCTATACTAAAAATACTGCATAGCCATTTAACTATAGTTGGTACGAAGAAGTACCAATTCACAGTATTGTATACAAGTGAGAAGGATATTACTGGTTTTAGTAGTAGAAAAACTGACAAGTCCTCATGTAACTTAACAAATTTGAGGGGGATTTAATGGTAAATTTAGGTAAGTAAAATGTTCATTATATCACTATCTTAGGAGAGTATCTGGCTAATCACGTTAAACTATAACACCATGATCTCCTTTAAGCCTATTTAGCAATTGACAGTGTATTCAAGTACTGCAAAATACATTCACTAGCCACACTAATTATCTAACTGAACTGGAATTTATTATTAAACTTGGGTCATTCTGATTATTTAGTTAATATTACTTTTAGTACTTTTTAGTGTTGCCCAATGCTACTGTGTTCAGAATGTATTCTGTAACATTTGTGTAATTATGAACTGAATAATGCTAAATAAAACCAAGTAAATTCAATTATATTTACATGGAGGACACTTGCTTGGTTATTTGTTCCCCCTGAATGTGTTTGATTGGTGTGGATTGAGTTTACCTCAAACTCTTTTATTCAGACAAAATTATGGTTTTTATTTCCCCCTCCACAGAGAATCTTTCAAATTCATTAAACAATGTATGAAATATACATACATACATCACAGCATTTATATAGCACTATTTCAAGAAGATCAGAGTGCTGGAAATGTACCTATAAACTATAAACAGTCGTTCAGTAACTTTCTTCTCCCCTAGAGACCTCTTCACCAGGTAAACTCCTACTCCTCTTGAAAGATGTAAAATAAAGAAATAAATAATTCTGGATTTATAGTGCCTCACGTTTTTACTACCTTGAGGCACTGAACAACAACACAAGAGAAGAAAATAAACCAAAACTAATTTAACAGACAGTAATATATAAAATAAGAAAAGACTATATTATGGTTGTACATTGCGGCCACCCTGCCTTAATAACAGCTCGGTCATTTGACTTGCCAATATGGCTTTCATTATTATTACTTTCAGATCTTTGGTGTGGAATTTTGAAAAAAGAGATGGAATGTCGTATTACGTCGGTCATTTTAACAATGATGTCCATTCAAACGGTTATGTCATATAGCATTACACTTTCCTCAGAATCCATCACTGCTGAAGTTGGAACTGATTCAGTCAACTTCACCTGCAGAATACAGTTGACAGAACAAGAAGCAATGATTTCACATTGGATAATATGGTGGAAGGATAACAACAAAATTGCAGACAATGATATTGTACATGTAAATTCTGCCAAGTACAGTGTTCATGGACTATCATCTGCTGCAATGATGGAATACACACAAACTTTACAAGTTAATAATATTGAAGAAACTGATTATGGCAAATATACATGTACTTTGGTTTTAAATCGACCTAATATGACAAGTACTTTATCAGATTCTACTATACTTATAATAAGTAACTTTATTTTTCAACCTGTCTGTTCCATTAGTCCAAGTGAATTTGAAACTGGACAGCAACAGTTGACATTGATCTGTACAACTTTACCAAGTGATCCTCCAATAGTACTTTACTGGAATGATAATGAAGGTAATATAACTGCAATAACACAACAGCAACAAAATGAACCTGTGACATTATCATATACAGTTTCCGTTGAATCTTTATCAAGCAATCTGAAGTTTACATGTAGAGCTAAAAATACAGTATCAACAGACACAAAGGAATGTGTTATTGGCAATCTGACTTCAATGACAATTACACCAACCACTAGCATTACAATTTCCCCAAAGCTATCAGTGTCAGAGACAGTTGATGAGAGATCAACTGCAGTCCCAACTAAAACCACCAACAAGGCCATATCTCATTCACCCATTTCACTGAATGTTACCGGTACATCAAATGTCACTAAACCAACAGCTACAGAACAAAATAATATAACAACATCCATTAATGTAGAAGCAGAGACATCATTACCACATACGTATAGTACATCTGTAAATGTGACTCCAGAAATGTTAAGTCCTTCTAGTAATAACAACACTGTAATAATCACCATATTTGCAATCCTAGCTGGAGTAATCCTTATGACAGTCTTCATAGCAATGTTACTGCTTTTAAGAACACATATTGAAAAAAAGAAAAATGAAGAGACTCATTTCAAGATGTGCGCAAGAGAGAATTCAGTACACTCCAGTAGTGAGATTGAATATCCAGAAGGAGAGACTGACATGCATATAAATGAAAACCAAGACCATCGGCTTATTACCATTGAGTTTGGAGACGATCAATTAGGTTGTGCAATGTATAAAAATTCAATATATGAAACAAATACGGATGATCCTGATCCGTTTTATGCAGCAGTCGGCAAGGGAAATGTTGAAGAAAGTCAAGAAAATGCTGCCACGGATGATCCTTATAAAACCAAAGGTATTTATCCTTTAGAAGATAATCCAGAATACATGTCTATTGAAGAAACAGCATTGAAAAAAGAAACAGCATTGAAAAAAGCAACTGCACCACCAATTAAAGCAAAAAAAACCACAAAATTTAAGGTAATTTCATCATTATTGCAATTTTACACTATTTCATACTCAATGGTTTAATGGTTTTAAATTTAAGAACAAGATAAAAAACGTAACTATGTGCTATTAAAACAAGTGTACAGTATGTATGGAAATGTAAAGTGCCAAAGAAAATAATAATAATAATATTTAGATGTAATTTCCCTTGCCAAGCCAGTCTCACACAAAACCAGAGTATACAGTATGCCCGAGTCACTACCAGAGATTGATCTAAATGAAGCCTGGTCAGCACTTGTTGAGTCTCGGCCATCCCAGACTCTGGCGCCTCTATCCTGAATAAAGTGTAATAAAACTCAATGGCCTCTGGTAATGTCAGGTGTTTCACAAAATGTATTGTAATGCATCAATGCACATAATTCAATTCCTACTACCTGTATAAACATTTTGTTATGGTAAAAGTGAACTTCTACTTCAAATACCAACATACAATAAACTGCAGTACTTCCTGAAGTGACTAATAAAGGAAATATCACAATCTATTCTAATATGGTATCTATAAATCAATCTTTTTGATTAAACTGAAGTTGATAGGACCTGGTACTGTATTGCATTTTACAATCTGTCATTGCCAATGCCCCTTTTTCAGGAAAATTGTAATTCCTCATCTACTGTACATTTTGATGACTTGGCAACAGGCTCAAGGCTTTGGACGACAGCTTTCTGGGCTAAGCTCCACCTAATTTTTACAATGCCTGCGCATGTCTAATTATTCATCGAGCCCAACTGTCTTAATGTTTTCGATTACAATTTTATGGAAAAAATTTTAATATTTTTAATGGTTTTGCCACATTGACTAACAAACACCTAAACAGAATTTCAGAAAAAAAATTGTTGAGGATGTAATAGTTAAAGCCCTGTTCCCGACAAAATTTCACTAAAAAAATAATTTTTTTTTAAATGCATGCATTACTCTAATTATTATAAATCATGGAAAATATTGCCATAAATTTTAGTTTTATGCAAAAGAATAAAAAAATGAGAAATACAGACTATTTCTCATAGGAGATTACCATTTTCTTGATAAATTCTTCATTACTAGGCAAATTTAGAGGTTGTAGATCCCATCCGCTGGAATGCTCTCGCTTTTGTGTATACTTTATACAGTCAATAAAGTGCACCCTCTCTAATGAGAATAGTTTATGTAGTTCGCATTTCGCACACTGCGGTCGATCAAGTAGGCCTGAGATGTTTGTTTAAGCGTCAAAATCTTGGTCAGAATCATTTTTTAATGGATTTGAAATAATTCCTATGAAATATAATGTTGGCTGTTTTTATGTGTGATAACAGACCCTAAATCGAGGTAAGGCTAGACCTACCCTAGCAGTGTTGGATAGGCTAATTTTTCCGGCGCTTTCGCAAATTCAAACATGAAAAATTCATCCGCATTTACTTTTTGTGTGGAACACAAAAAAAATCAAATTTTAGTCTTATTTTACATTTTTTTCATGTTTAGGAATGTGTAAATTCAGTTAAACTAGCAATTTTGTATTATATTTATAAATTTTTATAGCATGTATAAAAATCAGATTTTTCTTAACAATTGAAATTTTGCCAGGCATGGGACTTATTTAAAGTCAATATGACAATTCGAGTGGTAAAGTATAGTTGATGTAAACAGCAAAAAAAATATTAGATCATTTGGAAAAAAAATAATATAATCCAAAATGCTGATATATAATAATACAATTAATGCAATTACCTATCATCAGTATAAATTTTATACTCCAAAATAATTGTATAGATAAAAAGAAAGAAAATTGTTGAGGATGCAATATTTAAGCATTTAAAGTCAATATGACAATTTGAGTGGCTGAGTATGTTGATATATATGGTTAAAAAAATATTAGATCAATTGGAGAAAAAAATAATATAATCCAAAATGTTGATAAATAATAATACAATGCAATTACCTACTGTATCAGTATAAATTTTATACTCCAAAAAATTGTACAGATAAAAAGAAAGAAATTGTTGATGGTGCAATATTTAAGCATACTAAACAAAGGTACAGATTGAAAAATGTTAATCTTGGTTAATGTTATATATTTCTATTGTATTGTTGACAATAACCTCACTCTTTATTCATTTTTTAGGTTAAAAATTATCCTGCACCTAATGGAGAAATGTACGCACAAGTCGACAGGTCATCAATTTCATCATCTGATAGACTGAGCACCATTATGAATGA